TGAATTAGTAGGGAGTCCTCGTTCTGTTTCTGGCCCAAGAGATGGAGCATTTCATCAAGTACGAACTTCTTATGTATTCTTCTAATTCACAATCATAATCAAGTTTTGTGCACATAAAGTGGAGGATACCATGTCTATAAATTTACACATTTATATTGCTAGAACTCCCTAGCGATGCCCTAAGAATTTATGGTCCGAAAAGCCTAGGAGCGTCCATTTTGGGACCAACATAAGACTTTCATAAAAAATGAATATCAACTAACATATAACATATATATTTCTTGAGTTTTAGCCTATCCTTTATTTCGTCCCAAATTTTATTTCCTTCAAACTCTCTTCTATGTTTTCCTTTCTTTTTTATTTACCTAGTATTTTTTGGTTTCAAACAGACCCTTAGGGTATGCTTGGATCACATAAAATGCCAGGAAAAAGAAATAAAAGGTCAAATGTATTTTTATGTTTGTCTTTACCATGGAACCTTAGATATGATTAGAGTTTTTTGAATTTTTTTCATATACTCTCTTATTTATCTAGTTGCCTCTATAGGGCTTCCACAAAGATTAAGAAAAAATAGTAGTGAATGAAGTAGTGAATGGTACAAACAGTAAAAAGATGAAAAAGATGATGAAAAAGTAGGAAAAAAGGAAAGAGAATATGAAAAGTCAAGGTAAGAGGTACCAAAAATGAAAATAAAGTAAATAATAAAATACTTCCAAAATTTAATATGGAACAAATAATAAATATTATATTTATTTTAATATAATAAAAATGAACCAATGAAACAAGTTTAGAAAGAATGTCTAAAAAAGATTTATAAATTTATTTTGTCTGAGTGTTTGTCTATCTTTATTTCATTTAAATTTCATCGCTTCATATTTCTCTCTATTTTTACTCCCATGTTCTCTCCTAGTATTCTTCAGGTTCCAGCAGGCCCTTCAGTTCCAGGGAAAGCGAGTTTATTTTCCCAAGACAGTGGTACTTAACAACTCAACCTTATTTTTTTCATTAATTCATTCGTCCCAACTTCTGTAGGTTGAGCCATCATTCCATCTTTCCAACACGGCAATGGAGGGAGCAACAAAGTGGGATCCCATCAGCTGGAAATCAGCCGAAGGTGGAACAAAACATATCCATGGCCACCAACAAAAGGTCCACACTCCAACCAGAGTGATGTCACTTCTTGAGGAAGAGCTAGAGCAGGCTCGTGCCCGCATACAAGAACTTGAGACAGAGCAGCATTCATACAAGAAGAAGATTGACCAGTTCTTGAAGAAAGTCAGTGAAGAAAGGGCCATTTGGCGAAGTAGAGAGCATGAGAAGATCCGAACAATCTTGGACGACGCAAAAGCCGAGTTGACACGAGAGAGAAAAGCCCGACAAAGGGTTGAAATCGTCAACTCCAAACTGGTCAATGAACTGGCTGATGCCAAGGTAACTGCAAAACGGTACATGCAGGAATACGAGAAGGAAAGGAAGACGAGGGAGTTGATAGAGGAAGTGTGTGATGAACTAGCAAAAGAAATTGGAGAAGATAAAGCCGAAGTAGAAGTGTTGAAGAGAGAATCTGAAAGACTTCATGAGGAAGTTGATGAAGAAAGAAGAATGTTACAAATGGCTGAGGTTTGGCGTGAGGAACGCGTTCAGATGAAGCTAATTGATGCAAAGGTGACACTCGAAGAGAAGTATTCTCAGATGAACAGACTAATTGCAGATTTAGAGTCCTTCTTGTGTTCTAAAGGCATAATTAACCCTACAGATATGGAGGAGATGAAGAAGATAGCAGTTTCTGTTAATATTCACGACATTGAAGAATTCACATACGAGCCACCGAATCCGGATGACATTTTCTCCGTTTTTGAAGACAATACGTTTACAGAAGAAAAACAAAATTCGCAGAGACACCATAATCAGAAAGCTTACACCAACAAGAGTGACGGTTATGGAGGAGAAGATGGAGGAAGTGAGTGGGAAACTGTGAGCAACATGTCAAGGAGTGGGGCAGGGTCCACACCATTAACAGATATTAGTGAAGTCTGCTCAACACCAGCTCAGCAAATGAAGAAGAGGTCTTCTGTGTTTAGGAGGGGCATGCATCCTAACGAGGGGAGGTACATGAGTGGAGGTGTGATCATGATGTCACCTGATAGGGAGTGGAGTAAAGAAGATGATGTCAGCACCTCCAATTCTGTGGGGTCGGGGAATCCTCATCATATAAATAAAGGTATGAAGAAAGGAGGGTGCATTGAGTGGCCAAGGAATTCGACACAGAAGAACAGTTTGAAGTCGAAGCTCTTGGAGGCCAGAACAGAAAGCCAGAAGATCCAACTACGTCATGTACTGAAGCAGAAGATTTAGAGAGAGTTCCATGTGTGAAACCCACCCACCCTTTGTCGCCAACAAACTAGTAAGTACTATTCAAAGGGAAAGAGAAGCATGTATTTCTTTTTCTTTTTCTTTTCCTTCTGCTCTTTCAAACTACCGGTGAATCAGAGATTTATGTATCCAATGAATGACCATTAATTTAAATGATTCATGAAGTCTTCAGATTAATTAATTTTCTGTGAATTGAGATTCCCTTTTCCGTGTTTGTGCTGCTGAAAAAAGAATGCAATGTCGTTACTGTTCCATTTTGAATTCAGTTGTTCCTCAGCATAGACTACTTGCACATTTTTTTGGCAATCAGGTGGTTCATTTATTTAATTTTAGGACTTATTTGGCAATTTTGGTTGCTTGTGTGTATCTAAACTTCATGCATAAAATAAATAATACTACGTAAATGATGAACAAAGAAGATGAAACGTACAGTAAAGATGATAGTAAAGATGATAAATTGAACCTAACAAATGCTTGTTGTCTCTTAAGATAAATTTGCTAGCACAACAATTGTCTCCCATGATATAACATCTTTTGTTCTTGAAGGACTCTGATGACCAAATGATGCACTAACAGATGAGCGTGTAATGAGGAAGAAGAGAAAGTTTTGTTGGAAAAATGGTTTTACAAATTAATATTATGGTCATTAATATTATTTGTGATAAATCAATTTGAAATGAATGAGAAATTGTTCCCGGAAAGATAAGCGTGAAATGATATTTAACACGCACACACTGCCGCAATCAGTCGGCCGGGTTGGGTCAAGTTCGAGTCTCGCCGGACATCTCTGTATGGCTACAGACCGGAGATTATTATTTTTTTCACGTTTTTTATTCCTTTTCGGATAAAATCAAATAGAAGACACAACTATTCGTTTTAAAAGAAAGGTCATGAACTTTCTCTTAATAGGTGTCTTTTGGGTTAGAGACTCCTGGCCAGAGCGCTATAAATACACGCCTTGTCTTCAATTTTGGGACATCCGAAAAATCATCACACAATCCTCCATGTTCTCTCTTCTTTCGTTGCATCTTTGAGTTCGCCGGAATCCCGTTGGGAGCGAAGAACCGTTCTATCCTGGGAGACGCTTGCTACGCGTGTCCAACAAAAACGTCTTAAGGAAACAACGTTTACGTTGGGCTCGATTACAAGTAATCTTACGTTTTTCCTTAATTATTTATTTGTTATTTTTTTGTATGCAGAATATTGTACATACATATAACAAGTTTTTGTATTTTTGGACATTTGAGACTTGTTCTCAAAATCACAAGTAGTAGTTTGAAAATAAATAGTACTATGGCCATGAGACATTAATCCCAAAAGGCACGTATAAGAGAAATTTGAGCATTCAAAATGTATATATATTGCAATATTTTAAATCATGCGGGTGAGTACCGCACACCCTGAACTTAAGACCCGACCTTACCAGACCGACAACTGCATCGCCGTGGGTGAAGTATAATTTCACGCTTACGACATTCACGTATTCCCTTCTTACAAAGTCAGTACCTTCGACATGCATGCATTTCCTTACAAAATTCGAATGCCCCTTAAGGTCCTACCATAATACTATTCACCAGACGGGGCATAAATCTGGTTGATTGTGTCTGGGAATCGGAAGTTTGTTATCGTTGCGGTGAATAACAAACATCACGAAATAGATTGAGGTCAAGTCGCTCGTCAGCATCACACATCTACAATGTAATAATTTCATACGTAAGAACATATTTTGTAGGTTCGAGGTTCCCTGTAAATTATTCCTGATAATGAAAACAGTTTGATCGCGAGGCATTCTCACTGTTCTGCGCAGTCGGGCATGGAGTTTTGCTTGATGACGGTAAGCTACCCTCAAGAAAATGGACAACTAGAGAACAACAATCGAATTCTTGTCGATGGATCGCAGAAGTTGGAATCCCTGGTGACAACTTGGGTTGAAGAGTTGAACAATATACTCAGGACCTTTAGGACGACCTCGAGGAAGGTGACCGGGGAGACCCTTTTTGCCTTGTGTTATGGCTTTGAAGTAAGGGTTCCATTTGAGGTTGTGGTCCTATTTCGTCGGGTGGAAGAGTTCGAGCCAATTAGTAATGAGGAGAGGCTCCGAGTTGATCTCCACTTTATTGAGGAGAGAAGGGACAGAGCCTTCATTTGGATGACTGAACACAACCTAAATAATAGTTAATACCACACTCAATAGTCAATAGCAATTATGATTAATGCCCTGTTTGGATAAAGTGAACTTAAGTAAACATAGTGCAATAAGGTAAACCTAAGTTTTAATAAAAACTAGGTTAACTTAAGTGAAACTAGGTTCATGCATAAAATAATGTTTGAAAATAAATAAGGTGAACCTAGGTTAATGTAATAAATGATTGTTGTTTGGATGAATGTGTCCGGAGCTAAACGATAACTTAACTATCGAAACTTCCCGCTTAGGAGAATCTTCAATTTAATAAGATTCCATCATCGAAGTTAGATCTTCTAACTTATTTTATGTTAAACGATAACTTAACTATCGAAACTTCCCGCTTAGGAGAATCTTCAATTTAAGGTTTTTCAGGTTCTCTAGAGTTATGTGATGTTAACTTATAAACCAAGTTCTGGTTGCAAAATGACCAAAAAAACTATATTAATAATAAGTAGTCCAGTGAAGTTCGATGATGATTATACATTATTTCTGGATCTTCATCTCTTATTTGAGTGTTCTATGATTGTGTCCATTTTTTGACCAATGCGTAAATTTTTTAAATTGTTTTCAAGAAGACACAAATTTATCTTATGCGTGCAAGATTTGCGTGTAAGGGATTTGAAAATCAACATATAAATACAAGGCGTGTTTCTCGCCAGAAATATGCCCATCTGTCACGCAAATCAATTCTCGCTTCTCTGGTGAGGTTAGATCTTCAAACAGTTCCTCTGGGCCATTTTTTATTTTCCCCTGTGCTTCATCAGATTTTAATTCCATCTTCCAGCTGCAGCTTTTTGTGTCCGCAGAAGAAATTATTTTCTCCTTTTCCTCTAAATTCAAACCACTGAAAGTATAATCGTCGCCATCTGAAGGTCAGCACGTCATTTCCTATCGATTCGTTTTTTCTTCAAGAAAAAAGTTCAATCATTTTTCCTTATAAAAGTAGTGGTTATTTAGATATAGAATCATCTCTATTGGGTGTTTTTCCTTGATGAACGCATGGGTGAGGAAAATGTTGTTTCTTTTTCAGGTGCAAGTTCTATGGAAGGCATTGTAGTTAGAAGAGTCATTCCATCAGACAACAGCTGCCTTTTCAATGCGGTTGGGTAAAATACACAGATACAATTAGGATTGTATGACTAAAAACTGTTTCCGGAATAGGACTTATATCTTTTTTCTATTATGATTAGTATGGCATGTAAGCATATCATAAGCCATTTTCTTTTTCTCGGATATGTCATTTCATACGTGCTCTGTTCATTTTGGGATTTGTAAAAAGTTTTAGTCCTATATAGATAATTCGGGTTTTGACCGAAAAGTTTTACTAAATCACTAGTACGGGTGCCACCCTAACCCTGCGCTCCAGTGACCAATGCCTCAGGATCCAATGACCATTCTCAGTGACTCGGCTTCAGTGTTCAGTGACCCAGTGATAGTCACCAATGACCCCAGCTACACAGCGATAGTGACCAATGACCTCAAGTGATTTCTGTAGTGATTCTGATCACCTACTGCCATCGTTAACATTCGCCCAGTGACTCATGTCACCCCAGTGACCTCCAGCTATCCCAACGGCCCTAGCGCCCTAGTGACTTCCTTTGCTGCCAACCACTGCCATAGTGACCATAAGCGCTTTACCCGTCGCGAACCCTCGGCATCCTTCACTCCAACCAGTAACTTATTGGCCACCACCCTTCACTCCCCAATCCCCTTTGTCACCATTGCCTGCACTCCCCCACCCCTTCCCTGCCCTAATCGCATATCCCCCAGCCGCCGCACCCTTCCTCAACTCCTCCCCCAGCACCGCCTCCAATCACCGCCCCTGCCACCCACCCCTTCACAGACTCCCAGCCCCTGTCTCACGCCTACCCAATCCCCACACCGCCAATGTTTCACCCCAGCCTCCATAACCCCAGCACGGCCACAACACCCTGCCCCAACTCCTCCACCAGTCCCTGCACTGCCGGTCCCCAAACCTCAATCACTCGCCCTACCCTAAAATATTCAAGTAGTTACCTTTCCGCTGCAGCCCCGATGTATCAATCTAGCTGAACCCTAGCCGCTTCTGGACATTATCAATAGCTTCCAGTGTGTTAGGAATGGAGGCGCTGCGGCAATGGCTGTGCTGCTGTGGCTTGCGGTGTGTTAGGAATAGTGTATGAAAACTACACGTGTATTTCTTTGTAATACAGTACAACTATATTCTGTTAGGCTGCGGTTATGTTAGCTGATAGTTAGTTGTGACTACAACTTGTATAAATACTCTGTAACAACTCTTTCTCATTAAGATGATTTCATTTCCATCTTCAACCTAGCTTCTATTCTAATATGGTATCAGAGCTTTGCTCGTTCCAACCATGACGAACTCCACGTCTGAAACTACGTCCTCGCAAACTTCTTCTCAAACTGTCTCGCAAAGTTCTCCTGTAATTTTTCATCATCCTCTACCTGTTAAACTCGGTTCCACTCGATTGCAACAACTTCTTGTTTTGGCGACATCATGTTGAATCTGTAATCCGAGCACACAAACTTCTCAAATTCATAGAGAATCGTCAGATACCAAAACGCTTTACTGTTAGCGAGAATGGAGCAAAAACAATCAACGAAGCCTACAACATCTGGGAGCAACAAGATCAAATGGTGTTCTCGTGGCTTTTGGCGTCACTTTCTAAATCACTTCACGCTCGTGTTATCAGTTGCAAACATTCGCATGAGCTATGGAGTTAAATTCAGAATTTTTTTCGATCAAGCATCGTCGCCAGAGCTTGTCATCTGAATAGTCGATAACCTAATGTCTGTCGGTGAGCCTATATCAACCAAGGATCATATTAATGTGATCCTTGAAGGTCTTCCAGAGGATTACAAGTCACTTATATCTTCTGTTACTTCTCGAAGCATTCTTGATGCAGTCACTGTTTCTGAACTTGAAGGTCTCTTATTGGCCAAGCAATTACGACTGAGAAAACTTCGTGGTTCCTCACAACAAACAATATTTTCTGCTAGTGTTGCTCGACTTGAAGATTCTTCTCAAAACACTGATACTGGAACTCAAAATTCTTCAGAAAATGCCTAATCTCAAGTTGCTCAGTTTGATAACTCTAGTGGAAATCCTCCCTATAGAGGTAGAGGTCGTGGAGGTTTTAACAGAGGCATAGGTGGTCGCTCTGGTGGTCGCAGCTCGGTAACTTGTCAAGTTTGTGGCAAAAATGGCCACAATGCTCTTGTTTGTTATCATTATTAATGGAATCCTTACTCATCTCATGTGCAACAACCTCATCCATACTCAAACCATTTTCAACAAACATCACCCTTTTCCCATAACTAATCAATTCCAGGGCATTACCAATCTTCTTCTTCTCCTAATCCTACAAGACCAAGATACTCACCCAATCATTCTGCTTCATCACTTTTCAGCTTGGGATCACCATCTTATCCCTACACACCATCTCATAACTCTACTGTTCCAACTGCAGCCTGGGCTTGTGCAAATTCTTCTGTGCTAGGATCACCTCCCAATACTCGGAATCGGTTTCCAGATCCTGGAGCTACACACCATGTTACTACTGATAAGCTCTTTATGGACAATGGTCAAGATTTGGAAATTAAGTCTATTGATATTTCATCCATTCCTTCTCCTTATCAATCATCCCTTTCTTTATCTCTTAATAATATCTTACATGTTCCTGCTATAACCAAAAATCTTTTAAGTGTCGGTCAATTTGCCAAGGATAACAATGCATTTTTTAAATTTCATCCTCATGAATGTTTTGTCAAATCCTAGGTTTCTAAACAGATCCTGCATTATGGCATACTTGGTGAAGACGATCTTTACAAGTTTCAGTCTTTTCCGACTCTTGGGTCTCACAAGTCAACTGCAAACACATCCAAGTTCTCTATAGGTAGTTCTATGTGTCCTAGTTCTCTTATGTCTACTTGTAATAAATCTCAGTCAAATAACAATTGTAATGTTTGGCATTTAAGACCAGGTGGTCCTCATTTTGAGGCCCTCAAATCTGTACTAAATCTTTGTAATATCTCTTATATCAATAAAAATGTTGTTGTCTTTTGTTCTGCATGTTGCCTTGCCAAATCTCATAGACTTCCTTTCTACCCCTCTACTACTGTTTTTAATTCTCCTTTTGAACTGGTTTTCACTTATTTGTGGGGTCCAGCTCCTATTCAGTCATTTGATGGCTACTCTTACTATATATCCTTTATTGATGCCTTTACTAAGTACACATGGATCTATTTCTCAAAAAGAAATCTGATGCCTCCTTCGCTTTTCAGAACTTCTATCAATATATTCTAAATCAGTTCAATATTTCTATTAAATCCATACAATCTGACTGGGGAGGTGAGTTTAGGTCATTTACAAAATTCCTTACTGAAAGAGGTATCAACCATAGAGTAATCTGTCCTCACACACACCATCAAAATGGTGTTGTTGAGAGGAAACATCGCACCATTGTTGAGAAAGGTTTATGCCTTTTAGCCCATTCATCCTTGCCTTTAAAATTCTGGGACACTGCCTTTACCACTGCTGTACATCTTATCAACAGACTCCCCTCTAAATTTATTGCAAATCTCAGTCCATATTTCAAACTTTGTGGAACTGTTCCTGATTATTCCTTTCTCAAAGTCTTTGGTTGCTCATGTTACCCCTGCATTCGACCTTGCAGCAAACATAAAATGGACTATCATTCAAAGGAGTGTGTCTTTTTGGGGTACTCTTCTCAACATAAAGGCTACAAATGCCTTTCTCCCTGTTGAAAAATATACCTCTCCAGGGATGTTATTTTTGATGAAACAAAATTTCCTTATCCTAATCTTTTTCCTTCCACATCCACTCCATCTCACAATGTCCCAGTTCCATCTTTTGCTCCAATAACAATACTTCATCCTTCCTTCTCCTCACATCTCAATTCTGACAATGGTGCTACTCCAAATTTTCATAACCCTAGTTCCTCTTCCAGTGTTTCTTCTACTCCCACATCTTCATCCACTACACCTCAGTCTATTTCTAATCACACCATTGATCATGAAGTATCCCCTCAGATTGACTCACCTCCTCTCAACTCCTTAAATGGTACCACCAACATCTCTCCTTCCACACCATCTGTTTCTTCCTTCTCTCCCACACCTCCCATTCCTTTACATAACACTCATCCTATGCAAACCAGATCTAAATCTGGGATTGTTAAACCTAGACTTAATCCCACCTTACTGTTGGTTCATGTAGAGCCCAAATCAGTTAAGCAATCTCTCTCCTCTCCACCTTGGTTTGCAGCAGTGCAATCTGAATATAATGCTTTGATAGCTAACAATACGTGGTCCCTAGTTTCTCTTCCTCCAGGAAAGCAAGCTAAGGGTAGCCAGAGATCTTCAGCAGAAGCTGAATATAGAAGCCTAGCAGACACTACATCAGAGATCTTATGGGTTCAATTTCTGCTCAAAGAACTTCAAGCTCCTTTTATTACTCCCACAATCTACCGTGACAACCTCAGTACAATACAGCTTGCTAACAAATAACAATCCTGTACTATACTCTCGCATAAAACACATGGAAATTGATCTCTTCTTTGTACGAGAGTAAGTCAAACTCAAACAGCTTGAAGTCTTTCACATTCCAGCTCCTCAACAAGTTGTCGATGTGCTGACGAAGCCTCTATCTGCTTCTACTTCACTTGAATTCAGAAACAAATTGAGTGTGATTGACTTTCCAAAGCAATCACCCTCAGTTTGAGGGGGAAATGTTAGGAATAGTGTATGAAAACTACACATGTATTTCTTTGTAATACAGTACAACTATATTCTTTTAGGCTTCGGTTATGTTAGCTGATAGTTAGTTGTGACTACAGCTTGTATAAATACTCTGTAACAACTCTTTCTCTTTAAGATAATTTCATTTCTATCTTCTACCTAGCTTCTATTCTAATACGGTGCTATGGGTCGTGTTGGAAATGAAAATCAGACAATGTCAAAGAGAGAACGACAGAGAAGGGAGAACCATAGATCAATTAAGGGTATTTCAGTCCATTTATTAATATTAAGTCTCTTTTTTATCCAAATTCAGAACGGGTCTTATTTTTGTCCATTAGAAAGCTTGTAGTATTATTCCTCGTATTATTTCAGATATATTTTGCCCATAAAAAAAACTGTTTTGCTTTAATCGATCTTATTTTGGGATAGTTATGTGTCAAAATTATACACCCACATTGTTGGTCTTGCATACAGTTATGTCATGGATCGTGACAAGAATAAAGCCCCTGAGCTAAGACAGGTGAAGCTTTGCTCCTCGTCTCATTAATAAGCAATTTTTAAGTGATGAGCATACGTTTGTGTTTTGCATTTGGTAGTGTCCTGAGATGAAATGCATATTGCGATTATGTATAGAACTGACAAATCATACTTGTACTGTAATGCTATTTTTTGATATTGATGATGAACCATTTTTGCTATTTAATGATTGTTTTAGAGAAAATGCAGTCAGGTGAATGAGTTTCAGTAAATACTTAGTTTGACTGCATTTCCCCATATTGAAGTTACTACTTTGTTTGAATAAATCATTTGCAAATTTTATCTACCCAAACATCTGACTGCATTTCCCCATATTGAAGTTACTACTTTGTTTGAATAAATCATTTGCAAATTTTATATATGTCAGAGAAACATCATAATCCCAATTAGTGCTCAATTGCATATTTCAATTTGTGAAATTGTTTTGTTTATCATCTCCAATGACTGTTTTTCCGTTTGAAGGTCATTTCGGCGGTGGTTGCAAGTGACCCAACAAAATATTCAGAAGCTTTTCTTGGGAAGCCCAATAAAGAATATTGTGAATGGATCCTTAACCCAGATAAATGGGGCGGTATGTGTTGCACTTGTGTGAATATATATATGTGTATATATAAGGAATCAAATACAAACACATCGCAATTTACAAACTACAAGTTCATCTTGTCCATCCATTGAATTGATCTAAGGGTTGGAATCGCATGCTGACATTTTGGTAATAAAATCAATCTTTTTTCAAACACAACTTTTCGAACGTTAATATGCAACTGTTATTTCACTACAGAATAATATGCAACACTTTGAACCTCAATATGTTTGCACAATACACATAGGTAAATAAATGGAAATAAATAAATAAATAAATAAATAAATAAATATACAACTCAAAATGATCCGCATTCTGGTTCATGGCGATGCACATTTATGGTTAAGATAATGCAGTGTAATTTATTTAGAAAGATACCACTGCGTTTTCTGATTCATGGCACTGTACATTTCTATTTTATATGATTCCAATTCTCAAATCTAACATATTGAATTCATTTCAGTTATCTCCTTAGATCATGTTCTCATTTCATCCAAACTTTATCTCTCGTATGTATATATAATTATATACATAGGGGATATTTAGGCTTTGATGTAGTTGTATATATACATAGGGGAAAGTTTAAGTGAAAGTAGTCCTCCATGAAAAATGTGAATAATCATGGTCTTTCATCAATCTAAAGTGGACACATAGGATGAATTCTTAATCAAAAGATGCAATAAAAAAACTGTAATATGTAGAACTTTAAAGTGCATCGTGTATACATACAAGTGTATTCATGAGTGTTAAAGAGCAGTTATCATATTCTTATAAGTTATGTACATTTTCTTTTATATCTTGATGCATTTTTGTGATGTACATACACACTTTGTGCATATGTTCATATACTTTTGTTACCGTATTTTCATTTAAGTCTTCATATTTTACAATAATGGCACCACGTTCTTTGCTTAAAATTGGATCTCGTTCATTCATTTGTTCACGTCAAGGCCCAAGATTAGTTCTTATTTTTAATCGATGTAGCAATTTTTTTTAAATTAAATTTTACACACGTGTGTGTGTATGTATAGTCGAAAAAGGTTCTTGGTTAATTGTCATATGTTCTACAACCATAAGAAATGTGATCTATACGGGCCACAGGAATGCGGTTGGTGTTGCCTGTGTTCTCTGTACTACAATACTTTTATAGACAGGTCATTCAATTCTCAATGCAATTACACTAGCACCCAATGAACTCTTTCTTGTAAAGTGGTAGTAATACCCTTTCATTTCCAGTGATTTCCCCACCTCAAATGGTGTCCAATCACTTCTCATTGGCATAAAAAGAAATATCTAGGCAGAAGTCAAGTTCTTGGAGCAATAAAGGGAGTGGGGGCGTCATAGTTCAACATCTATTCATAGATTTCAAGTATTTATACATGTATGTATGTATATAGGGTAATGTTCATGTAAGGTAGGCCTAAAAATTACGATTCTTCGGCCTCTTTCATTTGAAGTGCTTCCGGGTCAAATTTTTCGATGACATTTTGTGAGCATGTTCTCCATGAAGTGCAGATTATGTCCACCAAATTTCATATTAAAATTCAATCGGGAAGTTACTTTAATAAATTATTGAAAACAATTGCATTTTTAGGCCTAAAAACTGTGGAATTTTCAAAAATTGATTTAACTAACCTTCTGATTGAATTTTAATCTGAAATTCAGTGGACATAATATACACTAAATGGAGAACATGCTCACCAATTTCATCAAACAATTCGACCTGGAAGCTGTTCAAACGAAAGAAGCCTATAATTGTAACTGTTAGGCCTACTTTACTTGAACATTTTCCTATATATATATATATATATATATTTAGGATCACATACAAATTAATCCTAATTTACAAGATGCAAATTAATCCGGCCTGATAGGGAACCGCCGTCCGGCAGAGGCTGTTTTCGGCCCTTCCTGGTGGAATTTTTTGATAATTTTTTTTTAGCATGTTCTAGTTTATCCATACCAAATTTCAGCTAAAAATTCAATCGGGAAGGCAGTCAAAAAATTATTTGACTGCGCAGTTAAATATGTATAAACTGCGCAGCTATCTTCAAAAAATCATTTGACTGCCTTCCCGGTTGGAGTTTTAGCTGAAATTTGGTATGGATAAACTAGACTTGATGAAAAACATGCTAAAATGCCCGCGGTTCCCGCAATGTTTGAAATTGCGCATTGCGGAGTTGAGGCGTTTTTTTCCAAAGGTGTATTGCGTAAGCCTCATTGCGCATTGAGGCGTAAGGCTAAGGCGTAAATCTTAATGCGTAGGATTTTTTTTATATAAAAATTTATAATCATTAAGAAATAAAAATTCCTTCAAAGTAACACACTTAATTACCAAACTAACAATACTATCATAAAATTATGGAAATCTTGGTAGAAAATGGCATCATACAAATATTTATTCTAAAATTCTAAGTTTTTTATTGATGAATGCAAAAGAGAATTGCTAATGGTAATATTTATACATTATTTTATATATTAATTTAATCCAAATTAAAGACTATATAGGATTATACTTGAAACAAAAATTCAAATATTATGAAAAGTAAAACTTCACTACGAATTAGGAAATTATTTGAATATAAATAATCAAAAACATTGCCAGAAACATTGAAAACATTGTAAAGTTCATGGCAACAAGTAATTATTTAATTACAAGCCTAAACAAATACTCTGCATCAAACAAATACTCTGGAAATCGACGAGGCGCGCCTCAATGCGCGATTCTATTGCGCAATTTCAAACATTGGGTTCCCGTCAGGCCGGCTGGACATGAAATATTCTCTCTCTCTCTATATATGCATTAATTTTTTAGAAGGCATTGCTCAGTCTCACTAAACACTTCCGTACTTTTTGTTAAGGGCTATTGTGGTGACATCTTTAATTTGTGTTATTGCTAAAGAAGTTTAAGTGTTTTATTATTGATCGGACTGAACTGTTAACATGTATGTATGTAGGTGCCATAGAGCTTTCTATTTTGGCAGAGTATTATGAGCGAGAAATCGCAGCTTATGATATACAAACCACACGGTGTGATTTGTATGGGCAGGTTAGCCCTTACAAAGCCATGACGTTTGACTTTCTAGTATTCCATTATATATTTAATTTAATCCACCTTCTTTTACATGTTATTGAGCAGGAAAATAATTATGTTGAGAGAGTTTTGCTGATTTATGATGGACTCCATTATGATGCTTTGGCTGTATGGTCTCTCCTCTTCCCCCATTGTTATCTGTTTTCAACTGAGCACCTTAAAGAAAGAAAAGTACTACTATCAATCAAAGTCCCTCAAGATCCAGCATCATGTTTAGATGAAATTTTACAAACAAACTAAAGTGGAAAACTACAACATCAACATTCAAAGCCTTGGTCCCAAAAGATTATGAGATCGGCTAACATGAATTGATACATGATATTGGTGGCCAGAACGAAAGAACGAAAAGAAAGATAAAAAATATATATAAGGTCATTTCATCATTTTCATTTACCCCAGTGCCGCAAAGGCTCCCACCTACGGTAGGATAAGGGGGGGTCGGATGTACGCAGTCTTACCCTTGTACTAAAGCACAGAGAGACTGTTTCCGGATGACCCATAGTGAAAATCGCATCCAAAATTGCATGGACTGACTGCTGTTTCATAGCAAAGAAGCATAGATAAAAAGCATGAAAAGAATATACATAATAAAATGGATAAAGAATATAAGAAATAAAAAAAGATAAAAGGAAAAAAATGATACGAGATCAATCTTTCACACGAATATATGCCTTCGACTTTGCTCTCTTCAAATCCATACTGCTCTCATCCAACGTAAGAAAAAGCATATCACCCCTTACTCCTTTAAGCCACTTATATTTGAGTCTGCATCTACCTCTCCTCCCTGCAGCCCTGCCTCTTCTCCACACCTCTCAACTTATCTAACAGATGAATCACTTGATCTTCTATCACATGCACAAACCACCTCAATAGGTGTTACCCTCACCATTTGTTTAATTGTGTCATTCCTCAAGCGGTCATTTATAGTATGTCCACACATCTAACGTAGCATGCATATCTCTGTCACTCATCTTTTGAGTGTGACATTGTTTCACCGCTCAATACTCTAATTGTTGCCCAATAAAATTTACCTTCACTCTAGTTACGTACCACGATTACCTGACACACTCTTCCATTTCAACCACCATTTTCTGATTCTATGTGATATATTTTCATCACGTTCACCGTCCTTTTGAATGATGGAGTCCAAGTGACAGAATATATCACTGACTGATATCTTCTTACCATCTAGTACAACAACAACAACATCCAAGCCTTAGTCCCAAAAGATATTGGGGTCGGCTAACATGAATCGATACATGATATCACCACCAAAAGGAAAAGAAAGAAAATAAAGATTAAAAAATAAGCTAATATAAAAAGATAATATAAAACGAGATGAATATACCTAAAAATGATAAAATAAAAAAGACAAAAATAATGTTTATATATATAAGGATAAAAGAATAAAAAAACAAGAAGAAAAAAGATGAAGGGAAAAAATAATACGAGATCACTCCACACGAATTTCCGCCCTCCACCTTGCTCTCTCCAAAGCCATACCCTCATCCAACCCAAGAAGAAGCATATCACTTCGGACTCCCCTAACCCACGTCTGTTTGGGTCTTCCTCTCCCTCTCTTCCCTGCCTCTTCTCCACACATCTCAACACGTCTGACGGGTGCATCACTCGGTCTTCTACGCACATGACCAAACCATCGTAGGCGAGACTCCCGCATCTTGTCTTCAATAGGTCCTACTCCCACCTTTTGTCTGATTGTCTCATTTCGCATGTGGTCCTTCCTAGTATGCCCACACATCCTACGCAACATGCGCATCTCTGTCACACTCATCTTTTGAATGTGACATTGTTTCACCGCCCAACACTCTACGCCATATAGCAATGCATGCCTAATTGTTGTCCTATAAAATTTACCCTTCAGTCTAGTCGACATACCTCTATCACATAGAAATCCTGACGCACTCTTACCATCTAGTATCATTGTTATATTGCTTCTACCGCCACCAAGCTTGCACTCCATATACCCAGTTTGCTCAACTCGGTCTGAAACCCTTGTCATCTAATGTTTGTTGTCATATTTTTTAACTTTGATTTAACACCCGATTGCGTCTCATCAATCAATACAATATCATCAGCAAACATCATGCATCACTAGTACGGACATTTGTAATACAATCCTTATACATGGAAAAACTAAAACATAAAGTGGAAAACTAGAACATAAAAAAAGATGCTTTAAGTAAACATGAAAAAAATTATTTATGAAATGAGTTTATACTTGTTGGTGGGAAAAAAACTAAATGTGAAACACGGACCAAACATGTTATTAGATTCAGTGGGTATTTGGTTAATATTTGAGACCTACTGAGTCATTGAAGTTTTACATTGATAGTTTTATCCTGAGGTCTCTAGTTGAGAATTAACATATCTTTTGGATTCTAAGTTGACAAATTTTTAAGTATTCTTGTTGTTAGTCCCACTTCGTAATTGAATCACTTTGATTAGTTCCAATTTAGTTCAAGGGAAACATCAAACACAAGAGAGGGGAAGGAAAAGCCTGCACAGCTACTTGATTAGTTTTTCTTGTAAATAGGCATATTGTAAATGTATTATCCCTATGGTCATAATTATCTCTCAAATCAGCTAATGTTAAGCTCCTGGACTTTTACCATTCCACAGATGTCCCCTTCTGAAAAGGCTCCAGAGGAGTTTGATCAGACAATCTTCACTGTGCAGATGAACCGCACCATTGGCCCGGTTGAAGGACTTGCTCTTGATCTAGTTAAAGATCAGCAAAGGTAACATGCTTCCAACTCTGAGTTTCATACGTGGCTTGATACTAATCGCAAAGATATTTGGGCTGGGTCGCTTAGCTGGAAAATGGGTCTAATCATACTTGATTGCCAAGGAGATCTGTGCTTTGGATATAATGTTGATGTCCGAATGATACAAGAGTAGTTGAAATTTGTTCCAAAGTGCAGTGCAAAAGTAAAAGTGCAACAAAAAATAGTGTGTATGCCATAAGCAGTTTGAGTTACAATCACAATTCAAAAAATAAACAACACAACAACATACAAGCCCTAGTCTCAAAAGATTTTGGAATTGGCTAATATGAATCTATACATGATATCAGAGCCAAAAAGAAAATAAAGATAAGGTAAGATAAAAATAAAGATAAATATAAGATAAGGATAAAAATGATAACATAAAAAGGATAGAAAGAATATATGTAAAATAAAAAGGATAAAAGAATAAATAACATAAGAAAGATACAACAACAACATCCAAGCTCTATTCCCAAAAGATTTTGGGGTCATCTAAGAAGAAAGAGAAGAAAGATTAGAAAGCTAAAATATTAGGTAAGATAAAATGAATGAGATAAAAATCTAATAGAACATAAGATAGATAAAAGATAAAAGAGATAAAAGAACATAAGAATGATAAAAGATAAATAACATAAGAACATGGAAAGACAAGGAAGATAAAGAGAGAGAAAAGAGACCAATTGTCCACACGAATTTGCATCCTCCATTTTGCTATCTCTAAAGTCATACTCTCATCCAACCCAAGAAGAAGTATATAAGTTCCGATTCTTCTAATCCTAGTCTATTTGGGTCTTCCCCTCCCTCCTCCTCCCTCGCCTCTTCTCCCCACTTCTCAACTCGTCTAAAGGTGCATCACTCGATCTTCTACGCAGTACGCACATGATTTAACTATCGCAATCCAGACTCTTGCATCTTATCTTTTATAGGTGTTACTCCCACCTTTTGTCTGATTATCTCATTCCTCAAATGGTCTTTTCTGGCATGTCCATGCATCTAAAAGAACATAAGAAATATAAAGAAGATAAAATGATAAAAAAAATGAAAAGCGATCAATCCCCACACAAATATTCGTCCGCCACTTTGCTCTCCCCCAAAGTCATACTCTCATCCAATCTAAGAAGCATATCACTCATGACTCCTCTAAACAATTCAAAAAATAAACAATTGAATAAAAACAAACAACTTTTCAGAAGTAAAAAACTGCTTTGGTTCTTGAAAAGCAGTTTTTCATTTTTAAAAAACTGAACCCAAACAGACAAGAATTTGGAATCATACTGATCAGCTAATCTAACCAAATAAATAAGAAACGGGGATATGTTTCTCTACCTTATTTGTACTTGGGACTCTTGAGAGTTAACTCATAGTAGTCTTAAATTGACCTAATGCAGGAAAAGGAGCTATACTGATACTTCCAACTTCACATTGCGGTGTGGGGTTTGTCAAATAGGGGTTATTGGACAGAAGGTGGGGTGTGTCTCTCAGTCTCCCATGTTTTCATATCTTTGAGGTGTCTTATGTACATGTTCAAATTGTTGTGCAGGAGGCCACGGAGCATGCACAAGCAACCGGACATGTTAACTTTCAGGAATATAAATGAAATAATTATTGTGTTATTCTGTTCTTTGGTTTTACAGGAAGAATTTTTCCGTTGTCCTTTCACGCACATGACAAAAATGTCAGTGTCTATATGTATTTTACCATTAAGCTGTATCGCTCACATGACAAAAAATGTGAGTGTGTATATGCATTTACCATTAAGCTGTATCGCTCACACGACAAAAAATGGGAGTGTATATATGTATTTACCATTAAGCTGTATCACTAACATTGATGAGGTAAGCTTTTCTTGGAGGGGGGGGGGGGGATTCTAAAACACTAAACACTAATACATCACTCGACCTTCACCAACTTTACAGTCTTGACTTTGAAATTTTTACGATCACGTAAACAGTAAATTTTAAATAATTAACTACGTAGAAGGATAAAGTAAAGAAAAAATAATATAAATAACTCAGACTTTAGAGAAGTGTGAGGACGTGACTACGTGAGGTAAGTGCTCTAAACTTGTTGAATAAATTATAATGTACATACCTAGCACTTTAGATCAAAGTTAACTTGACACAATGTACGTTGTTATTGTTGTAAATTCTAAACTTCCATTGTGAAATAAATAATATTACTCTTGATGTATTTAATTGCAACACTTTTAATTTGATAATTTTCATCACTCGACCCTTCACCCATAGCATATTTAATTGATTTTACATTATTCACACAACTATATTTTGACTTTATTTTATTCATTATTGTACAGAGTATTGAGCAATTTCCTATATATTGTAAATTTTTCTCAGATTAAAATATCAAAAAAATGAATTTTGTATAAATTTTACTAATAGTCGATATTAATGGTAAAAGTCGTGTATTAGCAAATATCAACTTAAAATTGTTACAAATATATAGATGAAAGGTAGTAATATTGACTACGTATTTTTAAATAGAAGCTAAGAATGTTAACTATACCTTCATAAGTGATAAAATTATTTACTTAACACTATAAATTTACATTTATTTATGGAAGAAAATAATGTATTGTTATGGTGTTAACACAATTTTCTTAGTAAAGCTCGGGATGTTTATGTTATGTGCAAGTTTGAGTATTTACGTCACATTTTCTAAAGTTTGAACTTTGAAGTATTTAAATTATTTTTAAATTATTTTTCTTAAAATAAAATATTAGTCACGAATTGAAATAGGATAATTCGTATTTGCTTTCCGAGATATTAGTAGCAGAGCTATGTCGATTTACTATATAGGTGTTTCTTGCCGAGTAGCACATTTTGTTGGTGTGGTTTGAGGCTTTGAGAAAAATAGATGGTACTAAATGGCTGAGAGTTGAGACTCAAAAAATATGCGGGAGTAAACACTGGTTATCATGTTGTTTGTTTATCCCTAAATTGCGTGCATTAAATATATAATAAATGATGAATGAAAAAAATAAAGTTTATGATAAGATCAAGTTGTGCAAATGTTTGTTGTCTCCTTAAGATAAATTTGTCCGTGCAGTAATTCTTTCCCAAGATACAATGACTGGTGAAATCAACTGATGCACTAATGACTAATGCATAGGGTGTAATGAAGAAAAAAGAGACAAAATGGGTAGCAAGTTAGCAACCCACCATCTATTTGGAGTATATGGAGAGAGACGGATGAAAGTTCTCACATTCAAAGACAACGGTCGCGGAGATTTGACTAAAGCAAGGTATTTTCATTTTTGAATTGAGACCAGGTCATTAAGATGAACGATTCTGCTGAGTTTTATGCAGGTTTGGGGGGGGGGGGGGGGGGGGTAAACTCGCATTTCCTGGTAACTTTGTTAAAATTTGCTACAGATCAAATAATAAGGGGATGGAAGCCTGCCTGCCTGCCCTACAACATACTACTCCTGCTTCGACCGAAATGTGATCTCTCAAATCTCAATGATCCTCCAAAGCTCAAGTCGTTTTCCCGGATGGATTCAGAATGAGGTTACCTGGTCAATAATGCACTTCTTGCCGCAAGAAAGGGCTTTGAATGGAGATCATATGGAAATACCTTATCGCCACTTTTCTTCCCAGGGAGGCCAAAGCTTTGGCAATAGTGGAAGCTTTGAGTTAGTTAAAGAATAAAGTGCCTGGTTTTTCAGACCTGAAGCGAAAACCAGTTACCCTAAGGACACACTTCAATCTTAGTTTGGTCTGACCTCGTTTTTAGTAGCTTCTCAGCCTTGTCTGGGTTTTCAGGACACTCTAAAATCTTTTGATATTAATAATTTCTATCTTGATAGGTGGTCTGCGAACTGTTATGCCCTTACTTTAGCAAGGGGAGCCCTTCTCGAGTGAAGAGGCCATAGGGAATGGCTTCATGAGCAACCTAACTCTATTGTATCACTTTTATGGTCTGCAAAGGCCTATTAACACTGCCAAGTCCATCAGTTTATAAAACTCGTATAATAAAACAACAATAATAAAACTAGCAACAAAAAATTGTGATAATAATAAGAGAAAATTCCCCAAGCAAGGATAAAGTTCATAAATAGAGCTATCATTGTTTTATTCCCAAAATATGATTCATTCACTCCTAGTTTAGGAAATTTTAATCAACTTATTCTTTTAATAAGACTAAATGAATCCTACGGAGTATTTGGGAAAGAAAACATATTTTTAACTTTGTGTATGTTTTAGTCCTATATTAAGCAAATTCTATAGTAGTAGTAGTAGTAGTAGTAGTAGTAATCATAATAATAATAATAATAATAATAATAATAATAATAATAATAATAATAATAATAATAATAATAATAATAATAATAATAATAATAATAATAATAATAATAATAATAATAATGCCCCAATAAATCAAGGAAAATTCACTCTCAGTTGCACTAAGCTATAGCTTTCCAGATGAAGCAAAATTGATCTTTATGTAACAATATTAATAATCATCAAAGATAGTCACATTGAACTACAAATGCATACAGATAAGGCCTTTATAGAAAAATGGATGAAGTATTTTAAATTTCCTTTATTATGTTACCCAGTCATCATAAATTATCAATGTATAAGCTAGCTCCCTGTGATCCTGAAATAGGACAAAAGCTGTCACATTAATGTGTGCTTATAATAAAGCCGCGACACATTCAATTTCAATCCTGGCATCCATCGGCAATGCAGCAACCTGATATGTCGCCCGCGCTGGTGCTGGTGCCGGGAAATCTGCAACAAAATCATTTCACTGCTTGAACAGAATCCCATCCACATGACATGATGACAACAGACATTTCCGTTGTAAAATCCACTGGTCCCAATTATCCTAATTCCACTTAGATATCCTGCCTAAACCTAATTAACCCCATCTAGGTATCACATAGATCTGTCTGAACAAGTCTTTTATCATTGCCATTATCATAATCATTATCATTATAAGTATCACTATCATTATCATTAAAAGTATCCCTATCAATCTATCATTGTCAGTATAACACCTTCAATTCTTCATCATCATGATTTATTAGTAGTAGTTTTGTAGTAGTAGTAGTAATGGTTGTGGTTGTTTGTTATAAGTGTTAGTTTGTATTCCTATTAGGTTCAAAGTTAGTCTTAATATTTTATTACCCGTACTCATGGGATCTTATAAATAGAGACCATCAATCTTTTGGAGTAATAATTCTCCCGTGTGTTCAGTGGAGCCGACTGATACTCCCTTGCTTAGGGCAGGAAGCCGAGTTATTGTTACAAATACACTACTTTTCAATCTTCTTTTCATCTTCTAACATCGTCCAACATAGGCTCCACTGAGGCTTGCACCTATGATTCTTTTCACTGTGTCTGTCTAATTCCCCTCCAACACCCTGTCTAATCCTTGACAGCATGCCTGGCTGTTTCGACCAGACCCATCTAATTGATCCTGGTCATCATATGGCACCAGGTGTTTTTTACAACATTGTGTTGGAAAATTTGGGAAGGCAAAAAAAAGGAGAAAACGCTAGATTTAAATGATACTACGACACATTTTTAAAATTCGCAAGATCGTCAAGATTGAAATTAGCATGGTTTGATTTCATTTATACTTACACTTGGCATAGATCTCATTCACTGCCTTGAAGTCTTTCAGATCAGCCAGCCTGCAGTAGTGGATAACTACATGTTAAAAAATCAAGAATGTAATGCAATAGAGTTATTTATAGAAGCAATATCGTTATTTATACAGCACATACAAGATTGTAGTCTTTACAACATTCGAGTAGCTAACACCGCCTGCTTTAAGTATCTCTCCCATGTTCTTGAGAACCTGTGTACATGCCAGCACAAACTCAATAGAGACCAGGACAGAATTATTTTAGGGTCCCTTTGGAACTCAAAAAATCTTACGCAATTAAAATTTGTAGGAAAATAAAGAGAAACTTATGAAGGAAAGTGATTTTGGGAAACCATAAATACATTAGTACACATGCACTAAAAATCAACTTGTTCAAACTTATTACGTTTATGATCGCTATTTGCAAAAGCATCCCAAGAAACACCAAAGTGGAAGCAACATATAAACACACAGAGTTATGATGGGACTAACACGAGGAGTCTATGATATTATTCTTGTTGTTATCATCATCATTATTAGTAATACTAGTTTCCTATTAGTATTGTTATTTAGTCATTTAGTTTTAGTCAACTTCATATAAACCTAGCTCTGTGTTTCCTATTATGATTAATGTTCTTGTAATAGCTATATAAGGGGTCTTCTGATAGAATAGATCGTCATGTGTCTTAACAAGGTAGGGCGTCAATTAATTCTAGCTACTTATTTTACTTCGACTTCTTTTCCATTCTTTTTCAGAACCCGACCACGCTCGTAACAATATGGTATCAGAGTCATTACTCTCAAATCGCCCTTTTTTATTAACAAATTTGGTCACAGACTCGCAATATTCCACTTCGTATTCATCCACATCAGGCCACAGGCCACCACCCACCGCGGAGCATTCGATTCAGTTCTCCACCCTTTATTATTTTTCCAAAGGCGATCACCATCTGCCCACACATAGAATATTAGAAATGCTAATATTGGGACCTGCTTCACCATTTGATTCGTAGAGCCTGGGCTATATACCAAAAACAAAGATATCCACAAATATACACAGCAGACCTCCAAGCAGGACACCGTTTGATCATCTATTCATCAGCCCTTCAGCATTCAGTGTTACTTTACTACTTATTTTCATTCTTTTCCTTCTTGAGTATGTGGATCATTCTATTTATTGTCTGGTTACGTACTTGTCCGCCACTGGGCACTTTAGGTTAGATTAAAAAGACATCATCAGGTATATAAAAAGGGATTATCGAACATTGCAAATCACCGTCTAGGCGTCTACCAACTATGTTGTTCCTTTGATGAGTACGATTCATTGAGCTCCAAACTTATTCCTCTGGCTGCCTTGTTAAAACTTCAGGGAAAGAATTTTATGAAGAGGGTGACAAAATGAAATTACAGACTTACGGTATGCGTCCAAGTCACCACTCTTCTGCAGCCAAGAATCCACAATAAAGCTGGCTCCCCATCGTTGCAGCCAGAAGTTCAGAAACAATAGTCGCCGCCTACAGATTTGATGTTGCGGCCTACATATGTGCAAACTCTCTCACCAACATCAACCGGGTTAATGCCACCCAAAACTTTACCGCTCCAGCTAATAACACTCACATCCAAAAGTCCAGCTCAGCTGCCATCTTTTCCCTCACTTGTGGTGGCCATCCTACCATGGTGGCCAATAACTCCAACAAACCCGCTCTGTGTCTCTTCATCGCAGCCAGATCACTACAGGTACTATAAGAATGAAGGCATAGGAGAGCTAATAAGGAAAAAACATGGGTATCCCTAAACAGCAAATAAAGATTGCTGGCTGTCAGTCCGTCACATTATCAAATGTGATCACTTGCTTATTGGTTTCCTAATGTTTCCATTTGATCATGGAAAAGCTTGAATTTCCATGTTACTCACCTTCAAACTTGAGGCAAGCCTGATGTCCATGAGGGGTGTAATGATGTGCGGAGCCTATGATATTATTATGATTATCATTGTCATCATCATTATTAGTAATAGTAGTTTCCTTTAATACTGAGATTTAGGAATTTAGTTTAACAGTTTTACTCAACTTCTAATAAGACTAGGTTTATGTTATCTATTATGATTAGGACTTTTGTCATAGCGTCTTCAGTATAGACTAATAAAAACTTTTGATGACTTAATTGTTGTGTCTTAACTCTTAACAAGGTCATGCACAAATTAATTCTAATTTAGTGCTACAGGTGAGATCGTAAAGTCCAGATGTTACCTGCTCTGTTTGATCTTCCACACTGTCCGAAACAAACTTCCCAGTCTGCAAAATAAGCATGAAACACAATAGCATTAAATGCAGAAACACATGACATAAGCATTGGAAATTGAAGTTTGTTAAAATAAACAAAAATCGTGCCTCTGGAACAAGCCCAAGAACTCCAGATACAAAAAGAAGATTATTTGCTTTGATTGCTTGAGAGTATGGACCCAATGCGGCCGGAGCCTTTTCTGTTTGAACAACCTCCTTTGCACCTATTATCATGCAATCAGATGCTAATTCAACCCCGAAAGGCAAATTTCATGAACCGAGAATATACTACTTCATCGACCTCCGTATAAATTTTCAAACAAAAGCACCTAATGAAGACGATTGAGATGAAAAAATAAAAAGGAAATGGACGCAACAAAATCACAATGGTTCTAAAATGAAAAACATTTGTCCACCACAGTACCCAATAGTAGTATCAGCACTTTGGAGATTCTTACTGGTATGAGCGTGAATGCCAAGGGAGGCGAAGGGTTTAGACAGCGACGACGGCAACCGGCGTAAGCTCACACCGGCAAGTGATATACAGCCTGCGGTGAAGCCTATCGGAGAACGACCGCGAAGTCCGCCGAGGTCGACCGCGGGCATAGAGAAGGTTTTTGCTGCGCCGAATAAAGCCATCGTTTCTTTCGCTCTAAACTTTTGCTCCGGTTCAAGAGCGAGTGTGTGACCGCCTTTGACTAACCACTTCTCTGTTGCTATTTCTTAATTCCGATTTTACCCTCTTTGCCTCCAAACTACCATATTATATTACACTGTACCAAAATAGATCTAATTAGACTCTAAACAATTAATAAACTAGATTTTGATAATTACGGAGTATGAAATTAGATAATTTGAGTTTGCACCTCATTTCATTGTTCAAATACTTGAGTGTGTTTGCACTTCAACCCTTATGAGAAGACAACAAATGTTCCCCGATCAGGAACATGTTGAAGACTTGAAGGTCAACCAAATTGTTAATCGATGAACTTTTTTGTCTTACAGGGTTGAGGCACAAGAACAAAGTTTTTTGAAAATGGAATGCATAGTCAAATTTGGACAATAAATGGGGTGCAAACTCAAATTACCCTTCTTAAAATACATATAGGTCATACGTGTACTTGTCCAGTTCAAATTATACCATACTAAAATTTCACTCCAATTAAAAACATTATACAAAATATAAAAACATTATAGTAACATGACACCTACTCCCGTTTTAGTTATACGGCCACCACTTTTTAATTCATCTCACTGAAAGTTCAACCTAAAAATGTTCATCAACATTTTTCACTTTGAGACAATTTGTTAATTTGTAACATTCAACAATTAAAGTTACTAAATTGAATTTAGCTGTTACACATATCCGGTTGTGATATATGCATTTATGTATGCAACTTGAAGGATACAATTCAATTGTATGCTTCTTTTTTCCACTTCTCATTCTCAATGATTGGTTCATTTTTTTAAATCTTTTTCTTTGTGTGTTTTTGGAAGATTTTTTATGTTTTTTTAAAGATAATAATTTAATTTATTATTGATGAGGATAACAAGAAAAACCAACGATTGCATTCAATGACAACCAGATCTCGATCTCGAGGTTTTGGTATCCATTGGGGCGAAGAACATTGGAGTGCCTCCGAGCACTATTAGTCCCGTTTTTGTCATTTTCACTATGTTTTTTTATCTATTTGCTCTTTACTTTATTTTTTCTGATGTTCTTTTTGCTTTTCATTTGTTGTATGTTTTATACTATCTAATAAAATTTACTTTGCCTAAAAAACTCACGTTTTTATAAAAAAAAGGATAACAAGAAACATAACAACCATAAATCAAAACATTACAATCATAATGTTTAATGGTATACTAGACGTGTATTGACTGTTCATGATACTCGAAATGGGTTCAGTTTGATCAGCCACCGAAAAGGAATTATTAAACTTATCAGTTTTTCTAGCCACCAGTAAGGAGGTAAGTGCTGAAATTGTTCCGGTTACACCAGCTAATAGAGATAAATCAACCCATGTAATATCATCTTCCTGGATCGACAGTGGTTTGGGAGGGGGGCGATCGGTCTCTATATCAATGCAGAAGAAATTCAGATTAATGATTGATAAAGAAGGTAGTATAAACCTCTTACTAGGACACAAGAACACTCGACTGATGATGAACATCTGGCAAGCGACACTTCGTCACTGAAATCAACATCTCTATGTAACGTTAGGAAATTAATATAGAACTAACAGAATTGATTATATGAAACATTTTTCATGATTGAAGCAAAAAAAGATTGAAAAAAATAAGAAAAAAAGAAAAGAAGAGAAGGAGGAGGGGGCTAGGGTTTCCCGCAGGGCCAGCTCAATAGATTAGGAGGCCCGGTGCAAATCACGTAAAATAGGCCTTATATTAAATAAATACGTAGTATAATATAAAAGGCAGACTTTAAAAAATAACCCAAAAAAAACTACACTCAAATGTGACATTGAGATATAATCATATTCCGAACCTGAACAACCAAAAATGGTATTAAAAAAAAGAACTAAAAACGAAAAGAAATGAATTAAAATCATGAACTAAAAAATATAGAGTAGGATATTACTCAAAAAGACTGCTCCCATCGTCCCTTAAAACCAAGCTCGTCTAAACTGTACGAGGAATTTGTGCTAATTACTATAAATAAGCCTTATCCAGGTCTTATGTAATAAAGAAGTTGAACATTTATAATTAACAATTGCATTTTAATTACATATAAATATTAGTATTTAATGTTTGTATTTAAAACCAAAATACTAAAATAGAAATCTTTAGTCAAATAAAAAAAGATTTTGTATATTATGTAGACTATATTTAAAATTTTGGGCCTTTTGAATCGAGAGGCCTTGTGCGGTAGCACTTCTTGCACGCCCTCATCTACCGCCCCGGTTTCCCGTCACCGGTACTCTCTCTTTTTCGGAATGGTCCACCCTTATTCGCCTGGAAAAAACTTCAGTGGAAATGTTTTCTTTGTGTTTTTTCTATGTTTTTCTACACTTTGCGTTTAGGTCTCCAACTCCTTTTTTTCTTTATATCTTCTATCAGTTTTCTTTTTTACATTCACACAATTATTTCATAGTAAACGTTGGTCATGGTAAAAGCATATTCATATTACTCCACGGGGCAATTTGAGTTTGAACCCCATATTATTGTCTAAATTAGACTTTGCACCCCGTTTTTAAAAATCTTTGTTTTTGCACTCTAACCCCATTTGAAAAGACAAAATTGTCCTCCATCAGGAATATGTTGAAGGTCAATACAATTGTTAATGAAGGGGCATTTTAGTCTTTTCATATGGGGTTGGGGTGCAAAATCAAAGATTTTTAAAAACGGGATGCAAAGTCTAATTTAGACAATAATATGGGGCGCAAACTCAAATTACCCCTTACTCCACACATAAACTACGTATTCACCTTAGCGAGAGGATTGTTTCATATTACATATTCATCATATTCATAAACTCTATCCACCGATAATTTCATAGACACAAGAATAGAACATGCCAAATGGGTTCTCTGTTGAGTATATCAATATTCTCCAAAATATTTATGAGATCAACTACACTTTCTAAAAATATGATGCAATCCACATACCAATCTTATCAAATAATATTGAAATTCCATTCTTGTTGATCATGGATTGAGACGATTCTTAAGGAATGTCACATAAGTTCTCACTTAGTGATAACGTAAATCGAAGAGAACATAATTATAATAAATAATATACATACAACAAAGATAAATTAATCGTTAATTGTTATACCATAGATATCATAAATGATAGAACCTAAATGTGAGCTAATATATATATATATATATATATATATATATCGTTAATTATTATAATATATATAGGGGATGGTTCAAATAAAAAGTGGTCTTCCCGTGCAAAGTGCGAAATTTGCACTTTTTCATGTTTCGCTTGCACGTTTTCTTGTTCTTGTTGTACTTTTTTGCTGTAGCGAAGAAAACCGAGTAATTTACAAAACTGCCACCGTCATTTTGGCCGGTTTTGACAAAATTCACAATTGTGCAAAAGTGAAGCGGAAACAAGCAAAACATGCAAAAGTGAAACTTTGTACTTTGCACGGGAAGACCACTTTTTATTTGATGATACTTTATAAGTGCAATTTAGATTTTAGATGAGCATGTACTTATTTATTACGTAGTTGCACTTTTTAGTTAATCTATTATGCACTTTTTAGTTAATCTACTATGCACTTTATAGTCCCTACGATATTTTATTTATTGAGTGGATATGTGCAGCATGTATATGTATAAGTGCAATATAGATGATGTAATTATTTATTAAGTAATTGCATTTTTAGTTAATTTCTTATGCACTTGCGAGTGAAATAATTAAAATTAACTTTTCCTATAATATTTTATTTATTAAGTGGAAAAACTTTTATTTAAATGGTATGCACTTTATTTTGAATGTTACATTTTTTAACTTTAAGTTGCACTAAAAATGATACACTGTGCACATTGTACACTTTAAAAGTGCATTATAAAAAAACAACAACACCATGCACTTTAAATGTTTAGTTTAGTGGACTTTTATATATACTTTTTACTACAATTAAAGAGTTGAAGTAAATAAATATTTTAGAAATATATATTGTCACAAAGTAAAATAATATATATATATATATATATTTAAAAAATTACTACTTACTAAAGAGCATTCCATTCGGCAAAAAGTGAGTAGTTCCATAGCGTTGAAAAAAAATAAAAATAATATAATAACACGTCAAAAAATTAAAGCTTACAAAATACAAAACAAGAGAAAGAAATAATTAATAAATATATGACAACTGAAAAGGAAATAATTAATGTACTCCGGTACTACCAATTACGAAATGGACATAGTAGTGCCCACAATTTCGGAGCTTAGTTTTAATGCTAATTAATGCATGGATGAAATGACTAAAAGGCCTTTTAGACATGTACACGGTAGTTTAAAAAACATTGTTAATTCAATGAATCTTTGTGATCTATTCTTTTTTGCTCTTCTAAGATTAAGTTCTCACATGAACATACATACATACATACATACATACATACATACATACATACATATATATATATATATATATAAATATATATATATATATATATATATATATAGAGAGAGAGAGAGAGTAGTCTTCTTGTCCAGCCGGCCTGACGGGAACCGCCGTCCGGCCGAGGGCATTTCGGGCACTTCCCGATGAAATTTTTTGATGACATTTTTTGAGCATGTTCTTCATGAAGTCTAGTTTATCCATACCAAATTTCAGCTCAAAATTAGATCGGGAAGGCATTCAAATAATTTTGTGAAGTTAACTGGGCAGTTTATATGTATGAACTGCCCAGTTAACTTCAAGAAATTATTTGAGTGCCTTCCCAATCGAATTGTGAGCTAAAATTTGGTATGGATAAACTAGACTTGATGAAGAACATGCCCAAAAAATTTCATCAAAAAATTCCACCGGGAAGTGCCCGAAATGCCCTCGGCCGGACGGCGGTTCCTGTCAGGCCGACTGGACATGAAAAGTCCTCTATATATATACTACCTCCGGTTTTTTTTAATCTTTACAGTTTGACTTCACACAAAATAAGGAAAGAAATTTGACTTTACTGTAGAGTACACTGTTGAGGCACTGTTTGACACTGTTTGGCACTGTAGAGACACTGTTTGGCACTG